CCTCATTCATAGGAAATGAAATTTTGTGGTGAAGTGTTTCTATAATGGCATCGATAGCATTATGAAGGCATCGGCTCATAGATGTTTGGGACAATCCTAAATGCAAGTCCTTTCCAACAGATTTTTTATAACTTTCATGGGCCAGAAAATATAATGTTGATAAAAACTGAAGCAAGTAAATAAATATTATTCATAAGTTTACCTGTCATACAAATAAATAACAATATTAATTTATTATATTTGTTATACACTTTCACCAGAGGTGGTATACCATGTCGTCTTTCATTTCTAAGGTTGTTGTGGTTTTCAATAATAAGAAATATTTCCCTTGCTCCCTCCACATTTAATCTAATCTAATCAGAAGGTATATTAAATGGGTCACTTTCATCCCTTATTCTTCTATATAAACTTCTATTTCTGGCTCTAAAACAAAGTTCTTAATTTCAAATTAATAGAAATAATTTAAATACCTTTTCTCCAACTCTTCAACAATATCATTAATATTCATTCTGAATGTAAATAATTTAAAAAAAAAACACAGAAAACTATTCACTTCAACTGACTACACTATTATAATCTCAAATTAAAGTTTTCAAACATCAAGTATGTCCACCAAACATCGAATTTTGGAAACGGAATGACAAATTAAATATTGATTATGTTAACAAACATGTATGTTTAAGAAACTTTTTGAGCGGATGCGTTTATGGACGAAATAATTGAAAGAGAATAGGCACATATGTTACGAAACATATGTAGTTAATGAACATGCATGTTTAGAGAAACGGAATAAGCCCCTTAGACTACTGTACTTTTCTGTTTCTTGTCTGTGTAGGTACTTCGTTTAGTGGTACCGGCCGGCGACTCACAAAGATTGCGATAGTTCTACAATTCTTATAAGAAGTTTTTTTTTTAATTCAAAACTTTCATTTGTGTTGTGTAAGAAGTAGGAATATGAGTGATAGTGACAAAGACAGCGAAAGTCCGGCTAGTCTAACTCCTCCTAGAAAGTTACCCAAAAAAGGAGGATGAACAAGAAAAAAGGAAGGAAACACTCTCATCTCACCATCGCCAACAAAATTTTAGACAGCAATGGCTTAAGGATCCGGCTTTTAAGGACTGGCTTTTGCCAGACACGAAGGATGTGCTAAAGCTAAGTGTGTTTATTGCTCAGGATCATCAATGGTAGCTGAAATCTCTAATTTAAAAGTTCATGCCTCTACCAAAAAGCACATAGGTAATAAATCTGGAACTAGTGGAAAAATGCAAACATTAACATCGTTTGGTTTCCAAAAAGGTGTAGTTCCACCAAATAAAGAAAATATCGTGCTGAAATTAAACTTGCTGCTTTTTTGCGGAGCATAATATTGCCTTCTCGGCAGCTAACCATTTGACGGATTTATTAAAAGAAATTGTGAACGATTCCAAATTAATAAAGGAAATTCATTAAAACGAACCAAAGTAACGGCAGTCGTAAAGAACGTTTTAGGAGAAGGTCATAAAGCAGATTTAGCGGCAAAACTACAAAAAACTCTTTTTTCGGTAATGACGGACGAGACAACCAACGTTTCATCGGTCAAAACTTCTTGCATTGTGGTGCGCTATTTTGACCAAGAAGCTCAAAAGATATGTAGCACATTTTGAGAATTATACAATGTTTTTAATGAAACAGTTGATACTGAAGATATTCCCACAGCCAACGCCGAAAACTTATACAGGGCTCTTATCAGTTCATTATCTAGCCGTAATATCCCATTGACAAATGTGATAGGCTTTGGATCAGATGGATGCAATGTTATGATGGGTGATATTGACTCGGTTAAAACCAGACTTATACGGGATTTTCCAGGAATAATAATAGTAAAGTGCGTTTGTCACTCGGCCCATTTGTATACTAGTGAAGCTTGTAAACAGCTGCCTGAAGGTGTTGAACAACTAGCACGGGATATATACAACTTTTTTAGGTATAGCGATAAACGCCAATTTGACTTTCGTAACTTCCAGTCGTTTGCTGCAGTTGAACCCCACAAAATACTAAAACCTAGATGGCTTTCTTTATTAGCAGTGGTTGAAAGGATTGTAGAACAATGGGAGGCCCTAGGTCTGTTTTTTATCGATTTTACAACAAATCGTGAACATAGGTCGAAAGCCGATGTAAGGAATCGGGCAGTAGTTATTCTTCAAAAACTTAACAATCAATTTTACAAACTTTATTTCTCTTTTCTTGTTTGGTCGCTTTCTATATTTAACAAATTTAACCTGGAATTTCAGAGCGAGAAAGTGGTTGTTCACAATCTTCATGTGAAAATTCGTGAACTTTACACGGAAATCCTTTTGCGCTACCTAAAACGGGAATACGTCATAAGCTGAAACTTGGAAGAAATAGATCCTAAAAATCAAGATTGTCAATTACCGGACAAAGAACTGTTTTGGGGTCAAAGTATATGAGCTTTATCGCGGATGGTGGACTAGTGGTTAGTGCTGCTGACTACAAGCCGGAGGTCGTGGGTTCGAATCCCACCAGGGGTATGGCTGTTTATTTGTGTTTGTCCCATTGTGTAATAGTCCTTCGGAGGGGACTTTAAGCTCGCGGTCCGTTCCTACCCCTAACCCGCACAAGCCATTCAGTTGGCTTATGGGACTTCTTAGGAAGTAAGGGTGGAACTAAAAAGAGCACTTTTAAAACACCCAGATGTGGTTAGACGGCCAGCAGATCTTGAACAGTTTTATTTATGTTGCAAAAAATTTTGCAAAGTTGCTACGTCCAAAATCAAAAAGCGATATAACATAGAGGATCCTATTATGTCAAAGCTGCAGGTTTTTGATCCAGCATCAGCATTATCGCATAATTTTAGGAGTCAGTTTCCAACACTCATGCCTCTGATTGATGTGGTTCCGCGTATAATTGCATCAGCGGATGACAGAAGGAAGCAAATAATCGACGACCAGTGGAGGAGATTACCTTACCCACTTTCCTGTTATCTAGGAGGCTAATGTGAAATTGGTGAGCCCGATCAATTTTGGGCACATTTTCTCAAAACTGAAGACTTTTCTGACCTCGCTTATTTTGCCCTATCTACACTGTCTCTACCACATGCTTACGCCGACTGCGAGAGTTTTTAGTAAAGTAAATTAAGGAACCAGTTAATAGTGGAAACCGTTAATGGTACACTCCTTGCAGCAGAAGCTACAAAAGGTCCAAAGCGTGATGAAAACTGCATAAACTTTGAACCAACTAAAGATATGTACAGCCGCATGACAAAGGACAATTTATACGACCTAAAAAAAAAGACGATGTCAGTGAGGATCAGTGTTGCCACTTGTAACATAATTATCGAATTGTATCATAAATTTTTCTAAAAACAAAGCTTGAAAATTATATGTAACATAATCGATAATTGTAACATAATTTTTAATCCAAGTATCTGGACAAAATTAACTTAATTCTATCCAGATTAATTAATTTAATTAAGCATAAAGCCTGATTTATAGATTTCCTTCCTTCCTGCCGTAAAAGATCAACAATACCGTAGTGCTGTTTATAGATTCCCGTACGGTATTTATAGTTCTAAAGGTAACGGTAGAGTCAGCGGTAGCGGTAGCCAAGTTGGGCATTGAATATTATATGAAACAATTTATAGTTGTCAAAGGTAGCGGTAAGGGAAGTAGAGGCAAGAACGTAGCGGCAAGAGATGACCATCTTTCATCTTTTCTTACCTCAACCGCTACTCCAGGCAGTTTTTAGTTGACAGCCTCGCCTTGTAAGTTTAGTGTTTATGAGAGGGGCCGCCATTACCGCTACCGCTACTTTCTGAACTATAAATCCAGCTTTATAGTATTTTTAACAAATTTTATAATTTTCCAAAAAATCGATAATATTTTCAACCCTGCTTCTTTCACTTTTTTATGATTAAATTATAATAATTATTGTAACATAATTTTCCGAAAATTCGATAAATTTATTAACCCAATTCGATAATTTCAACTTTTACATTTGGCAACACTGGTGAGGATGTTCCTGACATCGTATTTAGAAATATAGACTTGGAGTATGTAGTTTTTACACCGCTTTTTAGGAAACAAAACTGTTAGTTTTTTTATTTTCTTATTTTACACATGCGTTGAGCAATATTAAATTTTATTTTTGTTACAATGTGATGTTTTATTCACTACCAAAATTACAATTGAATGGGTTAGAGGAAAAATTTTTTTTTCTTATTTGCTTTTTTAAAGAAATATTTTAGTCGACTTTTAATAATATTATGTAAAAATTGATTTTTTAATTATTATTTAATATAAAACATGTACCTATTAATTAATTAACAACAATTGTTGGAACCACAGTACTCTGTGGTTGGAACACACTAAAAAACAGTAAGATTACAATCTAACGTGGTCGTGTTTTTAAGGTCCAATATTTGGTTTAAAGGTTGCCGGTTGCTACCAAACAAAGTTTCCGTCTATATTAACTGAAAAAAAAATTAACATCTTTTTGCTCTTACCCCTTTAATTATAAAAAATTTAATATAGGTTAATATTCCCTATTTTTATTTAAAAAAAAATAGTTTTACGAGGTTTAAGAGCCCAAGTACGAGATTTTAATCATCTCTGTACGAGAATAAAATTTCTATGGTTGGCAACCCTGCCTCCGAAAGCAAATGTTAGCAAGGAAATTAGTATCGTTATTCGTTTGTTTTTGAAGACACGTGTCGTTCTTTTGTGCTTATTTTGACTAAACGACGAACAAAAATGGAAAACAAAGAAAATATGAAAACTCGTGTGGGTGGAATGCGTTGCATTTATAAAAACTGCAAAAACCGAAGTTTAAATGCCCAAAAAATCCGATTGTCTGAAACGATTGTCGGATCCGACTATCTGACGCCTAAATAACTATAGTTTTGTACGACCATATCGCAAACCTACGATCCGATATCTGATCGGACGTCCGACGCGACATGAAAGCAATGAACAGAACTCAGAAATTGGATTTCAAAATTAGGATGTTACAGCTAATAAAAGAAATTTGCGAACCGCCACGAAATGTTCATTCCTCGCTATCGTCGCACGGCTACAGCTCACAAAGCCCTCAGATTATATACTCTCCGAGTCCTCCACACGTCAATCGGTTTAATATTGGTCGTAAAACAGAACATGCCACATATACAGTACTGATGCCACCTAATCCAGGACCTAGTACCGTTGGGTCTGCATCATTGTATCAACCACGATCACAACAGCAACCACCATCATCAGCACTACCACCACCACTACCATCAGAAAATAGTACGTTAGGGTGTGCTGATAATGATGTTATGCATGAATATTTGACTTTTTGAAATTAGTATGATAGTAGTATGATAATAAATGTTTTACCTGAGAGTGACAGCTAATCGTTCTTCTGCAGAAATTGCAAGTCTCATATGTGTGTCCTTTTTCGTTATATCTTCCCGAATTAAATTAAGAAGTTCATTGAAAGAAGTAATTGACATTCGATAATAATCGAAAAATTTCTCCGGATAAGCACGTAACTTAGGATGCAAAATGTAAAACTGACTTTGTTAAATTCTTTGCGTATTTAACGAGTGTATCCAGTAGCGACGTTTTCTTTTTTTTCTCCGTTGTGACAGTAGAAAAGCAATAGCCAAAAATTCGTCGTCCTCCATTTCCTTTTCGACGTGTTACACCGAATTCCAAAACTCAAATAAGATCAAGATGGTAAGTATTTTGTCGGTAGTGTGCGGTACAGCGTCAGATAGTCGGATCCGACAATCGTTTCAGACAATCGGATCTAAAAGTAGCAAATGTGCGGCCGCCCTTAAACCGCAGAGAACAGAGGTTGGTCGATGGATAGTTTCAAGGGCACAGAGATTGTGGAAGTAAACCCAATCACTAACATGAGCGAGAAGGTGGTAGGCCTCATAATACCCCGCGGAATGGAGGACATGACCGAGGGGATCCTCGCGGTGGCCAAAGATCGGTTCCCGGATCTAGCCAACAACATGGAGGGGGAGCAGATCCTGGTAACATGTACCAAAATGGGCTCCATTAAAAAGACCAAGAGAATCCCAGTGGCAAGGCCCAGCGCGGAAGCCATGTTTCAAGGAATAGTCGAACTGGGGGAAATTGCTAAGTCGATCGATGCAGGAATGCTTTCCTTGGCGGCTCCGGCTGTTACGGCAGTGGTGGCAAGGAAGATGGCGGCCTGCGCTCTGGTTGCTAAGCTGGGAATACAAGCTAGGGTCTGCGTCCCAAAGCGAAAATTCAAGCAGGCAGGAAGCACCCCTCCCACGCTGGCGCGCCAAGCCAGCACTAGGCCCAGAAAGTACCGCCACGAAGCAATCCTGATTTAGGGGTCCAAGCGGGAGGAGTACCCGAACTCCTAACCAAGGTGAGGAACGCGATAAAGGGGTGCGACCTCAAGGTTGCAGGGACGGGCATCTGCTGGTCAGCTTGAGCGAGGGCAACGCTAAGGAAGTCGCCAAATTGATCACTGAGAGCAAGGCGGGGGAGAAAGTGGAGGCCCTCACAAGCGAGAGAAATACTACCCTAATGATGACAATCATCGAGGCTGCTCTGAGCGAAGCAGAGGTCAAGGCTGCCATCGTGGAGCAAACCGGGGCAGCCGCCGAGGACATCGAGGTCAGGGGTCTACGAGGCGGTTTTAGGGGCAAGTAGTCGGCGACGGTGCTGGCTCCCGCGGAGGTCGGCTCCACGATCCTAGCGCACAAGGGCATCATCATGACCCCTGCCAGCGTCAGGCCCAGACTCAGCATTGAAAAGTGCCACAAATGCTGGGAGCCAGGCACACTGCCAGCACACCGGACAAAATGCTGCCTCAAGTGTGGCAAAGCTGGGCATTTGGTGGAGAAGTGCACAGAAGAACCCTATTGCCCCCTGTGTAAGCGGCCGCATCGGGCTTGGTCCGGCAAGTGCGAGCAATTAAAAACGTTCCTAAACTCGGCCAGGAGAGGAAGCATCGCCGACGGCAACGGGATGCCATCTGCCAGCGCCGAGAGGCGATAGCGTATAGCTGCTACTATCGCAGCATGTCGCGTAAATTTCTTTATATGTCGCAATGGGCTCCATCAAACCCAAACACCAGCTAGGCGTCCGGACGCGTCCAGTTAAATATGAACAGGTGCAGGCGGGCTCACGACCTCCTCTACGATAGGTGCAGGAGGAAGAATGCCCGTGCTGCACTCATCAGCGAACCCAACCAGAACATCATAACAAAGAGCGCTAACTGGGTAACCAACGAGAGGAAATCGGCCGCAATCTGGCTGGCCAACGGCCACTGCGATGAAAAGAACAGCGGAGCCGCTTTCGTCAGGGCAAAGGTGGGAAGAGTGTATCTCTACGCGGTATACCTTTCCGCAAATAACACCATGGAGGACTTCGAGCGGGATCTGGACGAGCTGGAAGCCCAGATCAGGAGAGAGAGGACGAATACCATAGTGATAGCGGGGGTTATCCCTATGGACCTTCAGGCGGTCCTGAGGAAGCGAAACCACAATGCCACGGCGGAAGAGAAGGCGAGGAACAGGGACGACATACTGGAATTGTGGCAACAAAGACGTGATGAATCCACCAAGGGGGAGTGGACCAAAAGATTGATCCCGCAGATCGGGAGATGAATGGGCAGGGAGTTGCACTACTGCACAATGCAGTTCCTCACCGGGCACGGACACTTCGGCCGATACTTGCAGGCGATCGGCAAGATCGCGTCGGACAACGGTCCGATCTGCAACGATTCAGAAACCGCCGAGCACACCCTCTTCCATTGCGAGGAGTGGGAGGCGGAAAGGATGGAGGCAAAGCGGACAGTAGGCGAGCCGCTGAACGTGGGAAACATGACCAGGATCATGCTGGATAGCGTAGAGGGATGGACAGCAATAGATAGGCTCTGCAGGAATATCCTCGTGAGAAAAGATCCTATTATGAGGGTGCAACTTGTGCAGTAACGGAGCAACTGAAGGGTAGGCTCAAAGGCAGACAGGATGAATACTAACTAGCCTAAAGCGTTACCAATGTGGCCCCTACAGAAAGTTATGCCGCGGTCCCCGGAAGGGATTCACTCCAAAAGGAGGTTTTTAGTAGGTATTGTTTCGACCGTCGAGTCCCACACTAGCGGAGGTAGCAACATCAAGCCCTCCGGTGTGCGTAAAATGCATTTTCTTCCTGCCAGAAAAAAAAAGTGCTACAATAAATACAATTTTGATAAAAACAAAAAAAATATTAATACCCAAATACATTTCTGCAGATCACATTAATAACAAAATCTCGCAATCCGCAAATTTGGTACTAAGTTTTGCATTTTCACTCAATTATGCCTTAACATTAAGGTCATCGTTATTACTGAAGTACATATTACCTAAAAATGCTGTTTGCTATCAGGCTCCAAGCATTAAATAATAAGACGTTGTTTTAACAACAAATGCATTCAATGTGTTTCAAAAATAAGCATATTCTAGATGTTAAGGCATACCTTTATAACAAAATTAGGTTCAGAGATGATGTCCATAACATCCTTACTCGTCATAGAGGGTTAATTGACCCTCCTGAACGTAACACAGAGTTTTTCAGAAAATCTTTTACATATGATATTTATGCACCATACTCTGAACTACCACAAACTATAAAAAATAGCTCAATCATTATAGCTAAATCTAAAATAAAAGCTAGATTACTGAATGAACAGAATGGTTAAATATTAATTAGGTAGTATGTGTGGTTGGATGATTGGTTTAAAAATCAATGATCCCTTAAGTGTGCTATTTGCTTTAAAATAATCCAGGGCCAGGGGAAGAATGAGATGAAAATCTTAATCTGGTCCTTTGAACTCTTTAGCCTAAGAATTGAAATTTTGTTTAATATTATTTATGCTAACTGGTTCAATAAATGTATTATATATATATACTAACTTTCAGTGTTTCAAATCCACCATGTCTTTACTTCAAATGCATGTTTCTTAGGCCATATCCGAACCCGTTAATACTTTACCACAAATCCATAGCATTTATATTTAATGCTAAGTTTTTTCAGTGTGGGTTGCATTTAAATACCGGCATTTCTGTTTTTTGCACAAATCATCTCTTGGCACATATTGATAAAAGAAAAAATTTGAGATTGAAAATGGAGTTGCGCGAAGTTATAAGTGAAATCGGCGAACCCGTTGTGACCGAGGAAGGACTATTATATTATCAAAACATGGGTAAGCACTTCACCTAAAAAATATTTTTAATTAATCACAGTAAATATTTTACTTCCTTATCAGGGAATGGGTCTTTGGTACTACCATCACCCAGTCAGCACAACATCCAAGTGGCCCCACAGAACAGAGTGGCCCACAAAATCAGAGTTCTGCTTTGCCATCAACTAGTGCCAGCACTGAGGCTAGCACTATGTGTCGAGATAAAATAATAAGGTGGACATGGGACGCTATTCTATGTTTAATTGAATTAAGGCAACAATTTGATCGAGAATTTCGTTCGACAACAACGAAAAACGAGGTTGTTTGGAAACAGTTGGCTAATAAAATGACAGAGATGGGGTTTTGTTTCTCCTCTTCGCAATGCAATGATAAATGGAGATACCTCAAAGCTAAGTACACTGCTAGAAAAGACAATATGGGTGCTAAAGGGACAGGACAGGAGCCGACTGATATTGAATATTTTGAAGAGATGGATTCCTTTCTAGGAAAAAAACATACAATCGTCCCAATTGCGGTAGCGTCGTCACCCAAAGGTGCCACTGGTAGGTTAAATGTGATTTAGAGATATTATGTCTATAATGGTGTTAATGTGTTAATATAAATGTAAACTTTCAGATTTTTCAAAGTAAGAATCAAAAGTATATTTCAGTATGAACATACAATCAAATTAATTATTTCGAGCAGCAAAGACTTGCTGACAAAGTCCATCCCGTCGCATTCTTCCTTCTATAGCCTGGTTGGCAGCTTCATTCTCTTTATCATCATTTGGTATTACATTTTCGATTCCAATTTGGATATATTCATTGATATGAGGATCAGGAAAATTTAAGCATACATTGTGCAAGACACATGATGCTAAAACTTTCGCTGGGATTAGTTGGGTGCAATTCATATCAAGAAACTTCAGTCGTAGAAATCTGCCAAATATAATTGCAAAGGTTCTCTCAACTACTTGTCTTGTTTGGGCATGTACTGTTTTAAAATATGTTTGACCTGCAATAAGATTGTCCTTGTTAATGTAAGGTGAAACACACCAGGATAAAATTGGATAAGCTTTATCTCCAATTATAAAATATTCTTCAGGACAATACTGACCCCTTTTGTCTCTCACATTAGTATATAAATCACTATTTCTGCCAGCGTATTCAGGGCTTTGACCACTCGCATGAAACATTTTGAGAGAGAAGATTTTTCTAAATTAAATTTTTCCCCTACTGATTACACATGATAATACCAATTATATATCATTAAAGGATTTACCTATAGGAATCAGGTGTTGCAAAACATACAATCGTAAATTTACATTTTTTTAACAATAAATAATGGACAAAAATTTAATTTCCAATCTTAACAATATTGCATTATATATCTTAGACCCAATTATAAATTTTTCAGTAATTTTTTATCCATTACCAATTAGTCCAAAAACAATAGTGGGTACTTTCAAACATTAAGCATTTATTCTCTTATTGATTATTGAAATTTTAGTGCAATATATAATATTATAATTTAAATGCTTATTGCATTATTTTTACTTAAAAAAAATCTGATTCCAGAGTTGTTTAAGTATTTCAAAATTGCCAAAACTCAAAACTGTTGGTTTTTGAGTTATGATGTTTTTAAACTGGAGGTGTATATTTTGCTAAATACTTAAATTCTTTTCTTGTTTTAAAAAATCAAAATTGTGCCTTAATTTTACCACAAGGTAATTTTTTTGTTAATTTATAAGCATTAAAAAAAATTACAGATGCAGCCAAAAAGAACTTTCCTGATAACGAGAAAAATGATAATATCGAATGTGGTTAAGGAATGGTTAAAAGCTGCAAATACAAGAATGAGCAACAAAAAAGGGAATAAAGCACAATTTATTAAAACAAAATAGGTGATATTTTAATTTTAAGGCGCTTGTGCAGAATGTGTATTTTTATATTTATGTTTTTATTTTGCTTTAATTTTTTGTCATGTTTTCTATTTGTATGTTATTTTAAATTTTTTTTTTTTTAAATTTGTTTTCCGTTTTTATACCTAAATCAGTGATTTAAATATTAACCGTTTTATAGGTATTTATTATTAACTAATAAGCACCTGATGTGAATCAAATATGGTATTAACCCTTAACCCGAGACCACGGTATCTCATACCGCTACGCAAATTTAAAATCTAAATAATTCCGACCACCCCCACTCTGTGACCTTGGGCGTTTATCTATCTTAAGTGGGAACTACTTCACGCACGGTTAATTTTATAGACGATTTCAGAAACAAAATATATAATCATCGAAAATTGTGTTTTTGGGTTTGTCCGACTCCCAAGTAACAGGAAACATGAAAATTAAAATCCTTCATGTAGGGCATTTTAGATGGTCGCCCAAAAACCTGTCAAAAGTTTGTAATTTTTTCTAAACACTAAAAAAATTAAATTAAAAAAAACTTTTTTTAAGGATAATCTCGAGGATAATAGAGCGTTCAATTTTAAGTTAAAAGCGTCTTAAAAAATGTTTTGTAGATACTATAGTTTTGTTATAAAAAAAATCTGTTTTTCTTACTTAACGAAATAATACATATTAATCAAATCTAAAATACTAAATAAGTTTTAATGTCTAAATCAATACACGTAATAATATGTGCTGGCTATTATAATAACAAATGCACCTTAACAATTTTTCTTTAAACGACTGTAAATTTCTTTGGATTTAAATTAATTTTTTTGAAAACATTGGTATAAATCCAGCTAGCCATGCGTGACTAGCGAAAACGCTCTGACAGCTGACAAATAAAGATATGTCAAAGAAGCGTTACTTGGAAATGTTTGACATTTTCACTCTTGAAATTTATAGTACTATATATAGACTATAGTTTCACGTAATTTTTCTGTGTTCGTGTAAGATGCCCCATAAAAAAAAGATCACAATGATAATCGAAAAAAGGTATGTTATGCATGTTTTAACAAAGCAGTTAGAAGCTATAATATCACTGGAAAAATAAAGCAACGTCTTGAAACTATTTCGCCTAGTTTTGACGAGGATAATAAGAGTATTCCGTTAGTGCTTTGAAGAACTTGTTATATAAAACTTATGACAAATAGACTCACAACTATTTTTGACTATGCAAAAATTAAAATTTTGCCCAGGCGTTACGGAATTAATGAGAACTGCGTTTGTCAAATTTGCCAAGTGGCGCGTTTTCGCGGCCATCCTAAAATGAAAAATCTACCGTTTCCATTTGCAGCTAAAAAAAAATCTGTAGGTAGACCTTCAAAAAAACAAAAAAAACGAAAAGAAAGTTGCAAAATATGCATAAAATGCAATTGTAAATTGGAAAAAGGCAGAAGGCATGAATGTACGAAAGCAAAGAAAATTGAAAATTCGTTTAAATTGGTAGAAGGTTGTAAGCAAGAGGTCGCAACTAAAGTTCTGGAAGAACAAGAATGTGCCCAGGGAAGTTCTTTCGTATCATTAAATAAGGGACGCAGTACTATGGCTGTACAATAGGGTGATTCAAAAAAGCCTTTTTTTTAAAATGAACCCGCACTGGCCTAAATTATAAAGATTTCATTAAAACTAAAATATTGATACCAAAAAATCCAAATTCGATGAATATTTAGAGGTCGCTCAAATCGATTTTCTTATTTTTGCACATTCGAGCCGCGAAATTATTACTGCGCAAAATAGTAAATAACTCCGTTAGTTTTTAATCGATATTATTAAAAATTTAAGGGTTACCTAGTTTTTTAATACCCTCTGAGACAGTGTATTGAACTTTACGGTAAAAATTTTTTTTTTCATGAAAAAAAATAAATTGTTAATAAAAACGTATCATCTTATAAAATAAGCAACAATTGGAATTGCACTATAATGGTACCGTAAAAAAACTAAGAAAATAACACTTAAATTATTTAGTATACAGAAAACCTGCCGAAAGAAATATTTTATTTGATTTATATAAAATATAACCTAAAAATAATTAAGTAATTTAGATTTTTCCCATTTTCAAACGATTTTATAAATAAATTATATCCGTTTTATTAATTATAACTTATTTTTATAATATTTCTTTATTTTCATACCATATTTAATTAATTAAACTAGGTAGTTATTAAATTAGGTCCTTTTTATAACTAAAATAAAATAACGTTAACTTCAAAATTATTCACTGCATTGATATGGCTTAAGCAGAATCTTTTTTGTCAAAAATTAAATTTTCTACAACTTTTTTATTTGAACTTTTTCGGTAAAACCAGTCATTCGCTCGATTTTCTCAAAAATATGTGAGAAAAAGTGAAAAAACGACTTTTGGAGCTACTACAATAAACGTAAATAAATCAAAAACAAAATTGATGCAGGGCCTTTCAAAAACCGTGAATACTATGCAGGAAATTATGGTGATAAAAATTATAATTCAAAACCCGGCCAAAATATAGAAATTTATATATATTATTTACTTAATTCAAAAGCGTCTAAGTACCAAAACTAATTTGTTGAGAAATTAAATAAAAACATCTTATACCTTGGTGGAGATAGATAGCATGCCCGATGGATGAACCAAGCTATATACTCTCTAAAGATTTTCTTATTTTGGGATCAATTTAAACACACTAACAATGAAAATAAGTCATTGCGTAGAATTTGTATTTTTATTATTTCGGCTTACATATTTGCCTGGTTCCAAGCTCCAAACTGAATGAAACATGAACTTCATGTTTACAAAAATGTAGATTTGCAAATAGAAGAGCTAATTTGTTTGTCATTTTTTAATAAAAGAGTACCTACTGAAACAAAAGAAACATGGTTGAAAAAATTAACATTAGAAACAATCATTGCAAAGAAAAAGATGTAGAGCAGTGGATTTTTTTATTTCAATTATAAAAAGGACATAAATTAATAACTACTTACTGTAATTAATTAAATATGGTATCAAAAATAAAGAAATTTTATAAAAATACGTCATAATTAATAAAACGGATATAAATTATTTATAAAATCGTATGAAAATGGGAAAAATTTAAATAACTTAATTATTTTTAGGTTATGTTTTACATAAATCAAATAAAATATTTCTTTCGGCAGGTTTTATGTATGCTAAATAATTTAAGTGTTATTTTCTTAGTTTTTTTACGGTACCATCATAGTGCGATTCCAATTGTTGCTTATTTTATAAGATGATACGTTTTTATTAACAAATAATTTTTTTTTCATGAAAAAAATTTTTTTTCCGTAAACTTCAATTCACTGTCTCAGAGAGTATTAAAAAACTAGGTATCCCTTAAATTTTTAATAATATCGATTAAAAACTAACGGAGTTATTTACTATTTTGCGCAGTAATAATTTCGCGGCTCGAATGTGCAAAAATACGAAAATCGATTTGAGCGACCTCTAAATATTCATCGAATTTGGATTTTTTGGTATCAATCTTTTAGTTTTAATGTAATCTTTATAATTTAGGCCAGTGCGGGTTCATTTTTAAAAAAAGGCTTTTTTTGAATCACCCTACTGTACAATTGAAACGAAAATCTGATCAATGTCATAAAGCTGCTTTAACTTTTCAAGATTTAAGTAATATGCAACAAGATTGCAATTTATCACAAAACTCATTAAAGAAAATATGTGGTTACGTGCGCAGGACAAACAGAACTCTAATAGAACCTTTGGCTTTGCAGAAATTGCAGTCTCATAGTCATCTGCTGGATAGCTTTTTTTCAACCACAGACTTGCCCAATATTAAATGCTCAAAACATGATGAAACTCCCTTTTTGATATATTGCACCGATCTTCCAGGACTAGTAACATACATTTTAAATGCCAGGCAATTAGACGATGATTTTCATTTAAAAATTGGCCTAGACAGTGGCGATAATTCTTTAAAAATGTGCTTAACCATACTGCCGGAAAATGACCCAGAATATTATCGAGAATATAAAAGTGCAGGTATAAAAAAGTTACTAATAATTGGTTTAGGACCAAACTTTAAGGAAAATTATGACAACGTCAAAATTTTCATTGACATTCTGCAATTACATAGCATCTGTGGAATCTGTTCATATAGTTTTGCGGCCGATCTGAAATTAATCATGGTACTTCTGGGCTTGCAAACAAATGCGTCATGCCATCAACTCCAAGGAGCTGCAAAATAAAGGAAATCCGAGGACGATCAAGAACATCAACGATCAACGAATTTTATGGCAACAAGCTACTGGAGGAAAACTTTCTAAAGCAAAGTATTTTGGTGAGTTTTGATTTTCACTGAATGTTTACGTAAGAATGGGTTGCGGAAGAGTTCATGCAATGAGCACCTAAAAATTTTAGGAAACTGCGTAAACATGCCGCTAATTATCGGAGATGAAAACAAGCCAGTGTTAAACTATATTCCCCCTCCAGAATTGCACCTTCTTTTGGGAGTGGTTCAAAAAATGTTCGACGGCTTAAAAATTGAATATCCAGTTGCAGCTGAAGAATGGGTGAAAAGAGTTGGCATAAGATTCGACCATTATGAACAATTTAATGGCAACAACGCGAGAAAGCTGCTCAAACAAGTTTGTACACATACCCTTTCCCATATTGAAATTCTACATATATATTCGTCTTTAATGTATTTAAGTTTATACATTTCGTTTTAGGAAACAAATACCTCAATTTGTTTAAGTATTTTGACGAAGTAGTTTCCAGTTGCTTTGGGCAAACTCTAAGTATAAGTTATGCCGAAAATATTCAACGTTTCGCAGTAGAACTATCTAAAGTCGGAGTACGGTACACACCAAAAATACATGCCCTCGTTCATCATGTTCCAGAGTTCATTGAAGAACATCAACG